CATTGCCACCCCTGGGTCGCCCTTCCACAGCTCGACCGCCAGTGTCGTCGTCAAGCATCGCCCACGCGCCTTACCTCCTGCCACCTGTCCAGCTTGTCGTCGTAGCCGTTGAAGCTCATGAACTGCGAACCCGAAAGCTTGGTGACCGTACACTGCCTGTGGTACTGCTCCAGCCATCCATAAACCTTTACTCTCCTTGGCCAAGGCCGCGGTACGCCGCAGCCTCACGATCTTGGCGAACCTGTGCTTCGCTCGCTTGGCACGCTGCTTCGCTTTCGTCGTAACCCTTTTCCTCCCAGCCGACGAATCCAGGCCTAGGTCCACTGCCTCCGTGACCGCGTAGACGGGGATCTGCCTCTTCCTCATGGACTAAGCCGTCCGCTTCACGTCCTTCGGGTGGGTGCCTATCAGGACCGACTTGCTGGAGATCTTCATCCTCTGCTCCTTGAGGCCGTCCGTGATGATCTCCGTGACCTGGATGATGCCATCGCCGACTGTTTGCCTGCTACCTTCTTGCCTCGCAACCGTGTCATCCACGAATGTCCACAGCGCAGCTTGTGGCGCCCTCCGATGCGCCCTCTCTAATATCGGGTGCAAGAACAGCTTCGCCAACCCCACGCCTCTGGCAGAGCCTGCTACCAAAGACCTCGTGGACCAGATCGCCTCGCTGAGGATGTTACGCTCCTGCAGGTACCTCGGCCCCACGAAAGCGGTGATCTCTAACGCCACCACCACTGCGGGAAAGTCCACTCTGAGGGCGATCTGGGACAGGATGACGAGCGAGACCGTGTCGTAGAACTTCTCGATGTCCAACAGTAGCGTCATCGCCGATGCCCCGAGCTCTGCCCCCACTTCGTCCAGGCACGCCCTGAGGAGCCCCGCACGGAGGGCTGAGCTGCCTTTGAGGGCTGTGTCCCAATGGGCCGATACCGAATCATTCCATTCTGAGCAGCAACCTCCCCGAGCCCTTGACCAGAGCTTGATGGGAAGGGCCAGCATTCCGAGTACTCGATCTCCTCCTTTGGGCTTGGCCGCCAGCGCGCACTTGGTGGCTGCCCATTGCCTCGGCCATGTGACCTCCTGCTCGCAATACTGTAAGATGTGAAGTAACCATATTCTTGCATGTCTGGGGGCCCGAGCCAGATCGTGCGGACCAAGGTGATCAACTCCTTTTGCTTTGGCCGACGACGACGCGGCGATGGCCCCGTCGAGCTGCTCCAGCGTGAGGGGCTCCAGCACGTGCTCCCAGGACTGATCGCGGAGCCTGCCCAGCTGGTACGCGATGTCCTCCTTCGTATCGACTGGGTCCGTCCATATGCGCTCCCACTCGTGCTTCCTGATGCCAATGAGGGCGTCTGGGTCCGCGATGCCCTCCATCTCCTCCGTGCACAGCTCGAACCTCGGCACCTGCTGCTCCTTCACATGCCGATGGAGGAGGCCAACTTTGCCTGCCCATGCCTTCTTGGCCCACGCCGTGAAGTTCTTCTGCTGCGCCGTAAAGCCACGCGACTGCGCGGTGGCGAGGTGGCCCTCTGCGTGCATGACTAAGTTGCCGAGCTGCCCCTCTTCCAAGTCCGCCAAGTCGCCCAGCATCTCGTAGAACATCCGCTGCTGTGCTGCGCCGATCTTCCTGCCGAAGACCTGGCTCTGATCCATCTGCTGCAAGACCCTGCCCTGCGCCTTTGCCTCCGCCAGGCACTTTGCCTGTTGCCTGCCGTCAGTGCCGTTGGTGTACAGCGCCTGGTACCTGATGAGGATGGCGTTGAGGATGCCCCACTGCTCCGCTGGCCCGAACTTCATGTGGGTGCGACCTGGTGTCGAACGCGCCTTGACCCACTTGACCTCGAAGCCCGAAGCCCGCCCTCGGTAGTGCTCGGCCTCCTCCTCGTCGATCTCATCCGTCACGATCGCCGCCTCCTCCAGACAAGTGACCCAGTCGCCGTACATCCTCGTCGCTGCCGCCTCTGCCTCGCGATGCCTGGCGTCTCGGATGATGAGCTTGTCGTCCCAAGACTGGAGCTCCTGCGACAAGTGCCAGCTTGAGGCCCTCCGAGATGCGGCGGGCCAGGCAGCAGGGGACGCCAGCACCCCATTATCCTCCATGCTTGGAGGGCCGACAACCTCGGGCGGCTCAACGCTCACGAAGAGCGGCCACGCGCTGGAGGCTGGGGGTGGGGCGCGGCCCTGGCTGCCCCCGAAGGGAAATATCTGGGACGCCGAAGGTGTTGAGCTCGAACCTGATAAGCTCGCCGTCGCCACCGCCTCCGTCCAAGTCTCCTCTGTGATGTAGAAGTCCTTGACCTTCTTCTCAGACTCCGCTTCTTCGATCGTGGCCTGCTCCTGAAATGCTTCCCGAAGGTGTGGCTCAAGTCGCTCCTCTGCTCGCTGCCGTTCTTCCTGTCGTTTGCGGGTCCTTTTGCTGTGCGGATCCGCCTTCTTCTTCGGTCGCGGCGGTGTCGCCAGCTCCTTCGGTAACTGCATCTTGCGATGCCACCACGCCGTCGCCGAACCTTCCAGCGTAAGCGTCAGTCCGCAATGTGTTCGCCACGGCACCGTGCGGACTGCCTCTAGCTTGACCTTCTGCGCGAAGTCCTTCCTTGCGATGCCGTAGTCGATCAGGCTGCCCTTCCCCTTGTCGCAGGTGACCTCCACATCTGGCTTGACCAGTACTCCGCCGATCTGCTGCACGTACCCCGTCTTGGCGATGTCCGCGAAAGTGACGTTCCAGTCCGCCAAGACCACCCACGGGTCCGCCAGCGCCTTCACGAATCCTGCCAGCGCTCTGACCCTCTCTCGATTGGGTCCGTGAAGACCTGCTCCTGGTAGCCAGTATGCTGAGACCAAGACCACGTTGCCCGCCTTGGTGTGGAGATTCACCGCCGTGAAGCCGTAGAAGGGGTCCTTCTTCCCGTCGTTCTGCAGCCTCTCTCTGATGGTGTCGTAGGTGGAGCAGGCGATGTGAGACTTGACCAGGATGAGCTCTCCACCCGAGGTCCCGTCCACCGAGCGTTTCGTGGGCACCGCCGCTGTGCCCGCCAACTTCCAGCCGTCCTTCGCCACATCCACCTTCACTTGCTTCATCTGGTCTTGCGCCAAATGCGTCTCGCACATCATGATGATGTCCATGTCATTGCCCTGCTCGTTGATGAACTTGTGGGCCTTGGGGCCCCATTGCGTGATGTTCGAGAAGAACACCTTGCTAAAGGCGATGGCCACCAGCAGCAGCAGCGCCTTCAGCTTGAGCAGGCTCCTGCTTCGGGTTCGTCTTGACCTTCGCGTCGTTCCTGAGCCTCTCCAGTCTGTCCTTGCGCTGCTGCACCTCTTCCTCTGACGGTTGCTTGTCCGCCTCTGAGCCTGCGGCTGCACTGGCGGCGCCATCGGGTGATAGAGGTGCAGCTGCTGGTGCCTCTTCGCCTGTGTTCGCCTTCCGCTTCTTCGCCTTGTGGGAAGCGTGGATGGCGTCCGCCTGCTTCTTGAGCTCCGTGAACTCCGTGTACTGCTTCTGGGCGCTCTCCAGCAGCTTCGCGAGGGACGACAGATCCGACTTGAACTTGAGAAGCTTTTTCTTATCCTCGGGCTCGTAGTCGTCCAAGTTGTCGAAGAGCGTGGGGTCCACCTCGGGCGCCTTCCATTCCGTAGCCGTTGCCTCGTCCAGCGAGGGGATGGCCTCGCTGGAGTACGCCCGTAGGACGGCCTCGTGCTCCTCCTCCGCGTCCGCTGCCTCCTCCAGCGCCTTGTTGTGCCTCTCCGTGGCGACGCCGAGAAAGCGCTCCGCCTCCGCAAGTTGGCTCGTCGCCTTCGCCAGCGCCGCCTTCTTCTGGTCCAAGTTGCTGATCGCCTGCCTGAGCGCCTTTGCCTTCGGAATCTCCGCGGGCGTCGGCGCCTTGGCAATGAGCTGAGCCTGGAGCGCCTGCAGCGGGCCAAGGTCGACCATGGTCTTGGCTGTGGCGTAGGCGCCCTTCCCCAGCTGGAACTTGTTAATAATGAGTTGCAGCTCGTCCGCGGGCGACGTGGCGGGCTGCTTTGCCCACGGGGGTTTGCCTTCCCCTCGCTGGCTGCGGCCCGCTGGCGGCGGCTGCTCGCTCCACCCGCTGAGGTAGTCGTTGCACTTGTTGCACCAACCTCCCGTGCGCTGCAGCTTCCAGTCGTGCACCCAGTTGCTGCAGCCGCTGCAGACCGTGTACGTCTGGCGCCTCGGCATGGTGGCGCCGTCTCGCTCGAGAGGGGCTCCAGCAGGAGCACACACAAGCGGCCCGACCTGGGTGTCGGGCGGTCCTGACCTGGGCGAACAGGCCGCAATTGCTGAAAGCTGTCCTCGGATCAGAGGTCTCCACTCCTGACCCCGAGGGAATCAAAACCTTGAGCCAAAATGGCTACGGAGAAGGAGGAGGAGGAGGAGGAGGAGGAGGAGGAGGAGGAGGATGCAGGAGGAATGAGGAGGAGGAGGAGGAAAGGAGAGGGAGGAGAGAGGAGGAAGAGGAGGAGGAGAGAGGAGGAAACCAAAGGGGAGAGAGAAGAGAGCTGAGAGGAGAGAGGAGGAAGACATCCTGCTTGCCTTCAGGGGGAGCTGACAGTTGCAAGCAGACGTGTCAGTGCTCTTTTCCTCTGGCTTCTCCCGCCGCGCAGGGAGAGGAGAGGCCGCGCCGCGAGCGTTGTACCGTGCCTGCAATGCGTCGTGTCCTCTCAGCGCTCCGCGTCGCTCTCTCTCTCTCTCTCTCTCTGTGATCTTCGGTGTCTGCGGCGTGACCAGCCGCCCTTCTCGTTTCGATTCCTCCGATTCGGTTCGATCTGGCCTCGATGGTCTCCGAGTTCGATTCGACTCGACTCGGGATGCCGATTTGGGCTCCGCTATCTCATTGGAGGCATACCGGCCTCCCTGTTTCCGCCGGTTCGACTTTCCCCGACTCGGCTGCCGATCTCGGCCGATCCGATCCAGTTCGACCGCCGATCGATTCGATTTGGGGGTCGTCTGCAGCCGCTCTTCGGGCCGGGAAGGGCGGGCAGGTTGCGGAGGTGGCCACCGCCGCCGTGAAGGAGTTCGACACCATGAGGCCCCCCCCCCCCCTTCCTTCTCCTTCCTGCCTTGGAGGTCCACGGCTCCCGTGCGACGTGGGCCCCAGAAGTTTCGGCCTCCTCCTCGCTCCTTCTTCTCAACTCTCCTCCTCCTCCTCCTCCTCCATCCTCCTCCTCCTCCTCCTCCTCCTCCTCCAACTCTCCTCCTCCTCCTCCTCCTCCTCCTCCTCCTCCTTCTCCAATCCTCCCTCCTCCTCCTCTCTCCTCCTCCTCCTCCTCCTCCTTCTCCACTCTCCTCCTCCTCCTCCTTCTCCAACTGTCCCTCCCTCCTCCTTCTCCTCCTCCTCCTCCTCCTTCTCCAACTCTCCTCCTCCCTCCTCCTCCTTCTCCTCCTCCCCATCACCCGAGCTAGTTTCCATCGCAATCTGTCGCTTGACAGTCCTTCTGCCGCCGGTTTCGCACCCTGCGTTTTTTTTTCTGATCGGCACTCTCGGGCGCAGTGGGGTCCCATCTCCATCCTGTTTGGGGAGCCTGGTAGCTTTCATCGTTGGGGGTCTGATGATCCTGCCGGGCGGGAGCCAACAAACAAGAACTGCGGCACATGCTCTCGATTCATCGTGGGGCCCGAGGAGCAGGCCCCCCCCCCCAGATCCCACGTCAGCCCGGGAAGGAGCGCCCGCCGTGCTTCTTCTGCGCGCGGTGCGCAGAGGCCTGGGCCCCCCTGCCCCACCTTACCTCGGGGCTCGAGTCCCTGCCACTGCCCCCTGCCCCTGCCCCCTGCCCCACCTTACCTCGGGTCAATGCAAACGGGGGCCAGCCAGAGCGCCGGATCTTGCAGGATCCTGCAGGGCCAGGGCCGCACTGATCCCGCGTCTGGGTGCAGGATCCTGCAGGATCTTGCAGGATCCTTCGCGTCGACCCGGGTCTGGGTGCAGGGTCTTGCAGGATTCTGCAAGGCCTGGCCGACCCGGGGCTGGATTGACCCGGGTCAGAGGATCCCCGAAAGGGGCGGTTGGGCGCGATTTACCGGCGGGCCGATACATTTCGCCGGGCTTTCAAGGCCCCCTTCTCGGACCCTGAAGGGCCCACGCAGGGGTCCTAAAGGGTCACTTTTGGGCAGCCCTTGCTGCCCCCTTGCTTTTTCGCCCCCTCATTTGTCGCCGCCCAAGGTGGGCCTTCTCAGAAGGCTCGGAAGTCCCCCGACCTTCGGAGAGGTATTCTAAGCCTTCCCCGAAGACACAACAAAAACTTCTCCGGAGGCCAGAGGGCTTCTGAGAAGCCCCGCCGCCTTCTGAGAAGGTTTCTCCAGCTCACTTCCCCCCCTCGCCTGCCGCAGACATCGGGCCAGCAGAAGAAGATGAGGCGGCGCCGTCCGTCAGGGCTCGAAGAGACAAAAACGACATGAGCGTACAGACAGAGCGCTGAAACAGGGACCCTTTTGGGCTTGGATAACGGGGCTCGGGTTTTCGGGCCGTTCTGTGATGCTGGTGATGATGATAGCGATTCTGATGATGCTGCTGATGATGATGCTGGTGATGATGCTGGTGATGATGATGATGATGATGATGATGATGATGCTAATGCTAATGATGATGATGATGATGATGATGATGACGAGACTGCTGATAATGATGATGATGCTGATGCTGATTATGATGATGGCGATGATGATGACGATGATGATGCCGATGCTGATTATGGTTATGATTGATGATGAGGATGTGATAATATTGATGATGATGACGATGATGGTGATGATGAGGACGAGGATGATGCTGATGTTAATGATGCTGATGATGGTGATCATAATAACAGTGATGATGATGCCTTGTAGTTGTACGGACATCCACGAGGGCAGATTGAAACAACCACTGGCAGTGCATCTATCACGACAATCCCTATCCGTTCTCGTATTGGCTCTAAGACTCAAAGGCGCGAGTCCTCGAGGCGGCACCCTCATACTAGATTGGGTGCTGCAGCGAGGAGGTGCGCACGTCGCGCGGGGGGCCGTGAATTGCATCGCCCAGTGCCCATCGGCACCGCCCTGCCTCGCGTGCCCGGATGTGCTGCGCCAGGCGTGTGGGCACTGCAGCGTGCCGGCCTGCCCAGGCCTGGCGGGGGCCGCCACATCCCAGCCTCCCGGGCGTGCCCGGCGTGCGCGGGAGCCGAGGAGCCCGCGGGCTGCCAGGCCTCGGGCCTGGGCTTCGCCTGGTTCGCGATCGGCGTGGCCGCGGGCCATGCGTGGAGGAAGTCGACGGCTTTGCTCAGCAGTGGACCACGTATGTTCGTTCCTGTCGAGGCGCGTTGTATTGGGTCTGAGCGGGGCTGTGCAAACATAGAGGCCAGCCCCGCGCCGTCGCCCATGGGAAAAACAACAGCGGAGTATTCATGATCGCCGAGCCTTACCCCGTCAGGTTGTGCAGCGCCATTGCTGCTGCAAACGCTTTTCACAATGCCTGGGTCCCTTCTAAAGCCGAGGCTTTGGGGCGTTTTGAAAGTCTCTTGGGCCATCAGGAGGCCATGTTGGACCCTCTTGGGGCTACCGCCGGCTCGCTTGCACGACTTGGCAGGGACTCCCAGAAGCCCAGAGGTCTCATTGGACCCTCGGCAGGGGCGTCCAGGAACCCCAGAAACCAGGGATTCCGGAATGTCTGGCCCGGGGGGGGGATTCTCACCCCCCCGGATTGTAAACATATAGAAAGGGGGCATACTTACACATATATGTATGTATGTATGTATGTATGTATGTATGTATGTATGTATGTATGTATGTATGTATGTATGCATGCATTGCATGCATGCTGCATGCATGCATGCATGTGCATGTATGTATGTATGTATGGTAGGTAGGTAGGTAGGTAGGTAGGTAGGGGTAGTAGGTATGTATGTATATGTATGTATGTATGTATGTATGTATGTATATGTACATGTGTGTGCATGCATGCATGGCATGTATGTATGCATGTATGCTACATGTACGTACGTACGTACGTACGTATGTATGTATGTATGTATGTATGTATGTGTATGTATGTATGTATGTATGTATGTATGTATGTATGTATGTATGTATGTATGTATGCATGCATGCATGCATGCATGCATGCATGTATGTATGTATGTATGTATGTATGTGTGTATGTATGTATGTATATAGTGGTTCCAACACTTGTTGACCCGAGAACCGTCCAGAAGCACTATGCGCTGTCTTCTGGCGTTTCTGCGACACCCCATGGGACAAGGCCCGGGAACCTGAGCGCATGTACGCGCGGCTCCCGCGAGCGTCCGGGGCCCCCGCCGGCCCCCCGCCGGGAGGCTCATGTACCCCGAGTGGAGCGAGAAGTGGGCCGCCGCCGAGCGCGCCCTGCAGCTCGACCTCGAGCGCGCCAGCGAGAGGCTGGAGGCCCCGACGCGCCCCACCTCCCCCCCTCCTCCCCCCCTCCTCCTCCTCCTCCTCCTCCTCCTCCTCCTCTCCTCCTCCTCCTCCTCCTCCTCCTCCTCCTCCTCCTCCCTCCTCCTCCTCCTCCTCCTCCTCTCCTCCTCCTCCTCCTCCTCCTCCTCCTCCTCCTCCCCCCCGCCCCCCCCCTCTTCCTCTTCCTCCTCTCCTCCTCCTCCTCTGCCTTCCTCCTCCTCTCCTCCTCCTCCTCCTCCTCCTCCTCCTCCCTCCTCCTCCTCCTCCTCCTCCTCCTCCTCCCTCCCTCCCCCCGCCGCCCCCCCTCCCGAGGCAGGGGCCCCGCGGGGGCGGCGGCTCGAGCGGAGACGGTCGCACCGGCCGTCTCTCCCTCGGAGGCGGAGAGGCGCGAGGACGGGGGCAGCGTCAGGGGGGAGAGCTTCGGGGGGGAGCGGCTCCTCCTCCTCCTCCTCCTCCTCCTCCTCCTCCTCCTCTCCCCTCCTCCTCCTCCTCCTGCTCGTCCTCCTTCTCCTCCTCCTCCTCCTCCTCCTCCTCCTCTCCCCTCCCTCCCTCCTCCTTCCCTCCTCCTCCTCCTCCTCCTCCTCCTCTCCTCCTCCTCCTCCCCTCCTCCTCCTCCTCCTCCTCTCCCCTCCCCTCCTCCTCCTCCTCCCCTCACTCCTCCTCCTCCTCCTCCTCCTCCTCCTCCTCCTCCTCCTCCTCCTCCTCCTCCTCCTCCTCCTCCTCGGGGGGGAGCGGCTTTTTCGTGATCGAGGCTCGAGGTTCTCCGGCGATTCTTCGTCGGTTCTCGTCGGCCTTCCAGCGTTCGGGCTGCTCTCCAGCAGCTGCGCCTCGCCGAGGGCGTTTCGGGGGAGCTCGGATCGTCCCGAACGGCTGCCTGAGACCCGAGCTCTGATGCGAAAACGGGACGGCGAAGATTATTGAGAGGAGTATCGACTACACGTAAGAGTGACCCTTCGCCGGAGTGGCCTTTGGTGCGGGCCCATTGGGGCCCCCCGATCGCCGGACGCGATGCGATAGTTTCGTTTTGCGCTCCGCAGCCCCCAGAAAGCCGCGCACCAAAGGCCACCCTTACACAGGGTCACTCTTGCGTGCACAGTCAACCCGCATTGTAAGGATGGGCAACCTTTCCAATGGTATCCTTACATCCTTGCCTCCCTGGTCCATCCTTGGCCACTCTCGCTGGCCGCGCCCCGCTCGAGAAGCTTCGAGACGGCCTTCCGTGGCCCTTGCGTCCTCATCGTGCATCCTTATGATCTGTACGGGTCGACTGTAGTCGAGGATGGGCTCACCCCCTCCTCCTCCTCCTCCTCCGCCTCCTCCTCCTCCGCCTCCTCCTCCTGCTTCCCCCTCCTCCTCCTCCTCCTCCTCCTTCTCCTCCTCCTCCTCCTCCTCCTCCTCCTCCTCTCCTCCCCCTCCCTCCCCTCCTCCCCCTCCTCCCCCCTCCTCCTCCTCCTCCTCCTCCTCCTCCTCCTTTTCCTTCTCCCCCCCCTCTGCGAACAGGATGGGCGTCTTGTCTCGGCGTCGCTTGGACGTGTGCGTCATCGATGAACCTCCTGAGTCATCCTCTGCGAAAAAATGCACGCGCGAGGCCGAATACATGCACGGGGAATGGACGTCCTAGCGATGGCGACTTGTGGGCACGCCGAAGGGATTGGATTGGGAGGGGGAGGCTTCAAGCAGTGGCGAAGCGTCCTGGCTTGCCTATAGACCCACCACAGAATGTTTTAACAACCTTTTGTGCTCTGCGCGACATGTTTTTATAACAGTTCTGGCCGAAATTGTTTTGCCTTCACACATCGGGCTTATATTTTAAGAACAGTGAGGAGGAGGAGGAGGAGGAGGAGGAGGAGGAGGAGGAGGAGGAGGAGGAAGAGGATGAGGATGAGGATGAGGAGGAGGAGGAGGAGGAGGAGGAGGAGGAGGAGGAGGAGGAGGTGGGCCTCTAGGAGTGCCAGGACGGTCGGCCCCTGCTCAACTCCAGGGAGGGGGGTTCACAACCTTACCAGACGAGCAGTCTTGGACTCCCCCTAGACCAGCCATGAAAGGGAGGACTGTTGTCCAGACCCCACTGAAAACAGCTTTCCAAGACAGCTCAAATCAGACCACCCCAAAATCAGACCACCCCATACTAGTGTGAATTCCGGAGTACTGATGTCGCTATTGTAGATCCGTGTCGCGTCGAGGCGGTCGCGATCCCATCGCGGGTCGTTCAACGCTGACCTCCGCCAGTGGCTTGGAATCGGCCGATACCGAACTATCCGCGCTGTTGGAAAGCCGATTGGTTCGGGAGAGGTCCAGGGTCCAGGGAGTGCCTGCATCGGTATCTGCTTCACGGATCGATCTGGATCGGGAGGCGTCGCAGAGAGACGGGGGGCAGCGAGCGCTGGTCGTGGCTTCTTTCAGCGTCGCGGTCTATGGACGACGTCGGGTCTCGGGGTCCCCCAGGGCTCAGCTGCGAGGATCACCACTCACCAAGCCACCTCCACCCAACCCGAGTGCCGCAATGTGACATCCATTTCCAGTGGTGGGGGCGTAGGGGAACATTGAAAACACATGTATCGAACCCGTACCCCCCTAAAGCCGAAATTTGTGTGTTCGGGTTGGGTTAGGGTGGTCTGGTAGGTAATCAGAGGAGGGAGGGTGCTCGAAGTTGCGAGAGAGTCGCATCGCACGGGGGATGGCCCCCCTCTCCGCGCGCCCCGTCCGCAAGGGTCAGGGGTCTTCCTCTGCTCTTCCTCCTTTCCCTCCTCCTCCTCCTCCTCCTTCTCCTCCTCCTCCTCCACAATTACTCAATATGAAAATACTCTCCCTCTTCCCCTGATGGCGTCCGGGTGATGGCCGCGCACCCTCCGCGTACTGTTTTTTACACACAGGATGCCCGGGAAATCCCGGGAAACGACTCTCGCTGAGGCGCCGGCGTCATTTTTTTCCCAAAATGCTGCTCTCGTTGAGGCGCCGGCCTCATTTCTGCTCCCGAATCGTTCCGAATCGTGCTCCCGCTGCAGCGTGGGCCTCATTTTCGGATCGGTGTTTGGCCTCCGTCGTTCAGGATGGCGTTCTCGCCCCAGCGCGGGCCTTTTTCTCGCGCGCCCATCCGCCCGCCACCACCGCGCCGCACCGCCACCACCACCACCACCACCACCACCACCACCACCACCACCACCACCACCACCACCACCACCACCACCACCAGCACCAGTACCACACCACACCACCACACACCACCACCACCCACCACCACCACACCATCACCACCACCACCACCACCACCACCACCACCACCACCACCACCACCACCACCACCACCACGACAACCACGCACACACGCACGCACGCACGCACGTGCACCACCACCCACTACGCACGCGCGCGCGGAGCCACAGGTCCGCTACGACACGCGTCCGCGGATAGAGAAAATCAGCGCCATGGTAAGGGATGGGAGGGAGGGGTAGGACGTCAGATATGACGCGAGCGCACCTAGCTTGTCCTCCTCCCCCCCCCCCTCCTCCTCCTCTTCTCCCTCTCCCTCGTTCTCCCCCCCACTTGGAAGGAAGCCGGCCTTGGCAACGTTTGGGGGTCTTGTAACGACTTACATCTACCCGCCAACCTCCTTACATCTACCCGCCAACCCACCAGGAACTCCTACTACATCCTGGTAAGTAGCGCTACGCGCCCTAAACACTTACTTTGCTTACGCATGTTGGCCATTGTGTTACTAAAGAAGTCAGCGGCTTGTAAGGTTTATCCCCTATCGTTACTTACGCTTAACAATTCCATCGTGTAGTTAGCGTAGAGTTAGCGGGATACTTATAAGAGAGTTACTGCGATTAGCTAAGTGGTTCGCTGATGTTAGTAAGGAGAGTTAGCGGGGTTAGCTAACTGAGTTAACGGGGCTAGCTAAGTGAGTTAGCGGGTTTAGCTAAATGAGTTAGCGGGCCCCTGGGAGGTCCAGCGGAGTAGTATCCCAGCCAGGTCGCAATGAAACCTATGGGACTGCGAACAGCGAAACTGTCACCAATTCCGTGGGCTCCTAACGAAACTGTCACTACTTTCGTGGGCTCCTGGGAAGCTCAGCGGTGTGTTCCTTAGCCATTTGGGCTCGAGCACCTTGCTGGTGCACCAGGATTTTCTGCAATCCGAATACACAATGTCTGCAGACTACAGCGCAGACTTTCGGACGGACCGTGAGACGGTGGATGCTTTGAAACAAGTTGAGGAGCCGATTGCACGCATCATTTCAAAATTTGATCACGATAAAAAAGCAATCGAAGCGTTCGATGGAATTATTGATGTACTATCGGAGCACCCAACGCTTCTATGGAATCAGTCGCGCAGGCTAAGTTCATGGGCGTCCATCGTGGCAACAGGGGCGGGCTGGGAGTGAGCGTTCAGGACGCTTTGAACAATGGATGTAAACACGTCAAGGCTGGCTACAGCTATCGTAAGGCGAACGAGGGAAACTTTGCAATCGAGATGCGTCATGGGACCCGAACATATGAAGAGCACTTGACATATAACAACGGTATGTCCAACATGCATGGGCTTCCTTACTTTTCATCGATGTATGCTGCCAGCTTCGGCGGGAGCCATGGCAATATATTCTTGAGGGCGATCGGTGCCAAGCTCCCGTGCGACATCGAAGGGATTTCTCACAATGGGTGCCTCGATGAAGAGTCTCTGATCCACAAGAGCCCTGGGCTTGTCCAGCCTCTCAAGTTCGGGCTTGAATGGGCGATCATTGCGATGGGTGTTTCTTTGGAATTTCCTAAACTCGTTTCGATTGGACAGGCTGCGTTGAACCACAAAGGGACGTTGGAAATTTCAGAAATGGAAGGCCTCATCACTATGCACGCGAACTACGGTGCACAAAGATCTGGGGGGGCCAACGATGCAGATGCATGGGAAGCAGCCGCCGCCACGTCGTTATTGTCGGAACCTTTTTGGGCGAGCTGGGCCAAGAGCCTTCAACGATTCGCAGCCGTGACAACCAA